TTTTTATTTTTTACAGTTTTGTTCATCTTTTCTCACAGGCGAGGAACTACATTAACTCACTTCCCCACATGCCCAAGAGGAACTTTGCTGATGTGTTTATTGGTGCCAACCCTCTTGGTAAGTTCTCTTTTCAGCGTCATGCTATGGCTGACACTACTCCTGGCTCACTGAGTCCCTCTAGTGGAATCATAAAGTCAGGGTTATCGATTATCACTGTGCATGTTTGTCCAATTTAAATCATCCACTATGAAAAGTGACCGCCCACATCTATGTAATACATATATACACCTACGAAGTAATGTCACATATAGATACAAGTTTAAATGGATGTTTTATTGTCTTGCTTTTCTCTTTCTTGCTGCTTTTCACATACTCACTGTTGCGGTGTTCAAGCGGTGGACTTGCTGGAGAAAATGCTGGTGCTGGACACAGACAAACGGATCACGGCCTCTGAGGCTCTGGCCCACCCATACTTTGCCCAGTACCATGATCCAGACGATGAGCCCGAAGCGGAGCCTTACGACCAGAGTTTTGAAAGCCGTGAGCTGGAAATTGAGGAATGGAAGAGTAAGTTAGGACATTGTTTATTCCTGGGCTATAACCTAAACTGGGGGAGGGGGTGTATTGTGTATTCAGAAATAATTTGTAAATAACCTCACACCCTATTTATTGTCTCTCAGGGTTAACCTATGAGGAGGTAATCAGCTTTGAGCCGCCGTCGTTCGATGGAGACGAGATGGAATCATGAGGCGGAGGAGGCACTTTTCCAAGAAACACTCTTTAAGGACTATCAGTGTCATCATGACTATCCACCACTTTCTTCACACACAAACACACGTGCAACACAACCATGACATTCAAGTGCCTGCGGTCATTCATCTCCAGGGGACGTTGCGAAATCAGGGATAAACCTCGGCATCCTGTTCCTTCCGTCCCTCACGTTGCTGTGTTTGTGACTCTGCATCCCAATGTGCCGAGGCAGACTTTCATTCTCCTTATGTTTTAGTGAGTTTTTACCTCGAGAATTTATAGTTTATGTTGATCCCCCCTTTGATTCAGAAGACTATCAGTATCTTAAAAGCCAACTGGAAAAAGTGAACTGCTAATGCATATTTTATAAAATTGTACTACTTAGCAGTAATTAATGTATTATGAAAAAAGTTGGATAGACAGGTTCAAACTGCTGTCGAAAAGTCTCTTTCCTCCACACATTAAGATGAAATGTTATTTCTGTTAATACATAAAACAAACAGTATTTGTACAAGTACTTGAGTCAAACCAGTTACCGCATTTGTGTAATAATCATATTTGCTGAGTCAGTATGAATTTTATTACTAGAGTTTAGCCTAAAGTGGCATATAAAGAGATACAGTAATTTAATACAAGTATGTATAGGATTTATTGGATTTGAAGGCTTACAGTGTCCCCTTTTTTTTTTTTTTACTTGAATATGAGTCTGAGGAGTATGGAGACTTGGCTTATGTATTCATTTCACCTACTTAACATTTGTTAGGTTTCCACAACTTTCCTCCATATGAATTCCTCTTTTAGCACTTCTGTTGTTTCAGAAGAATGTGTAAGTCAACATTATCACAACCTACAGTACCACTTTCGCATGAAAAGGCCATTTGGCTTATTAGTTTATTGAAATGTGATATTTCCCAGCACAACACCAACTGACAATGTACTTTAATCATATTGCATTTATAAAACACAGTACTATTAATGTTTATTGAATGTTGGGGGCAGTCTGCCCCATATTTATGATCTTTTGTTATGTTGTTTGTATATTGATGTAAAAGAGAATATTATTTGTCAGAATTTAGGGTTCTTTTTATTATTTATGGAGAACTTACTGTATCAGAAACCAAATGTATCATCAATAATCTTAAACGTCAGTAAAGCCACAGTGACTGCAGTTGCAGCTTGTGTAACAGAGCCAACAATGTTATTAAGATGTAGCGGGCAACCAGATAGGTTTAAATCAGTTTGTTTCAGGGGTTTTTTCCCTTTGCTTTTTTTGAGTTTAAAGTAGTTCTTGAACATTTATTTATCTTTGTTGTGTTCCCTGAGGTACTGCCCTCCAAAAGTATCCTATTTTCAAAAACTTTCAATAGACAACATATGCAGAAATCAAAGCAAAATATGGATTACAAGTACATTAACATTTTGTATTGACAAACAAACCACTAAACAGTAGACTCCTAGGTCTGGCGTGTACGACAAACATTTATTGACTAAATGTTTTTTTTTTTCTTCTATGTGAACCATTTTAGAAGTCGGATTACATTTGACAAACCAGCTCTGTCCACATTTGCTCTAGCTAATTTCAACCAAACAATATCAGTGTTTTCACTATTTCATTTGCGACTGCTTGTTTTCATGTAGTGCTTTTTGTAATGTATTATTTTGTTCTTTGTGAGTTAAATCAAGATTTGATGTTATTATGTGATTCTGTAATTGATAGTTTTTTTGAGTAATGCTAGAACTGTATTTGTCATTCATTTGAATAACTTAGCAGGGCACATATTTGTGGGAAAGAGTGTACATTTACTCACTGGATGCTGAAGGGCAATGCTGAAGCCTCATTCTTTGTAGTTCTAAAGCAACTGCATACATTTGATTATTTATCTTGTCCACATCCCGGTGTCAGTAGTTAATTTGGTTATTGGTTATACTTTCTCTGAGATGTGTTCATATCTTTTTACTATGTTCTTTACCACATGTACCAAGACAGCACGCCACGCCACCTGTAAATACCACCACTCGAAAATAAAGAACTATTTTTCAAAGCTGTAACAGTGTACAGCGTTTTAGCTGTCAGCATGCCACCACTGGGCGACAGCACTATGCAAGTAGAGCAAAACCTCTGCCCCTGTGTAGGATGACCAAAGAGAAAGAAGGTATGGGTACTTGCCCTACCAGTAAAAAAACACATAAATAATACAGATTAGTGAAAGAAAAGAAACCCGATAATTGTGTCCTCAAAATGTTTCACAAGTTATGTATATAGGAAACCTTTCTCTGAGTTATGTGCTGGGAAATTACAATTACACAGTGCTGCTCCTCACAGATTACTGTCATGATGCTTTCCTCTGGTGCATTCAGGGCCCTCATTGGCTCCCTCCTCTAACATGGTACTGTATGGGTTTCAGTTATGGAAGCCCTTTTTCTGCCAGGGAAAGAAACAAACTTGATTACAAGTTGGGAATAAAAATTAAAAGAATAAAAGTTAAAATGAGAAACTGAATAAAAGTTGAGACTACAAGTGTTTTAGAGCTTGAGTCAAAATTATGTGTGAAAGGATTTAGTAACATAATTTAGAGTTAGCAAGTCAAAATGTTGACTTTGGTTGTTTCTGTGACAGAGCTCTCATTTATTTAAATTTTACCAGCATGACAACATACTCTGATAGAAATTAGACAGTTACTGCACATGCAAAATGCAGTGCTGCAAACTTAATCTCTTCCTCAAGAAAAAATCTTAGGATTTTATTTGACAAAATAATAACATTTCTTCACCACTGCATCCCACACTACCAACCCACACTCTGCAGCATTTGAGAGACACAAGGTCTATGATACTTTTCAGTCAGGGTTTCTGAGACAACACTCTACTGAAACTGCTCTTCTGAGGGTCTCTGAAACTGTTCTAATGTCCTCTGACATGGGTGAGGGCTCTGTGCGATTACTTCTTGACCTCAGCTCTGCATTTGACGCAATAGATCACTTGATCTTGATTAAGATGTTACCTGACTGGGTGGACATACCAGCATTAGACTGTTTTTTGTTCTATCTCACTGACAGAAGTTTCACCGTCTCTATTGGAAGCTTTGTGTCTGATTCCTCCCCATTGTCTTGTGGTGTCCCCTAGGGCTTGGTTCTGGGGCCCCTGTTATATCTGCTGCCCCTTGAAATAATCATAGACAGATTTAATATCACATATCTTGTATATGCGGATGAAATCCAACTCTCTTTTTCTTTCAAAGCCACGAGAGGCCTTTGGATTATCTAGGATCCTAGACTGTTTAAACCCTTTAAGGGGCAGGACAGCAGACATTTTTAGAGCCCAGTGCTGATAAGACAGAGGTTGTGATTGTTGCTTGCCCCCATGATTATGCCAATCAAAGATCGGCTGAGGAGAGTGGCACAGATTTGATCAATCCGTATCATTTGACACCCATGTTAGGCAGCTTACCAGAGCTTTTTTTTTTTAAATAAGAAATATCAGTAAACTGAGATCGATAGCTACAACATCTGAACTAGAGATGCTTGTACACGCATTTATTTCATCTTGCATAGACTGCTGTAACATACTATTCCCATCACTTAGCATGTTTGCCCTTAATTGCCTGCAGGAAATCCAGAATGGTGCTGCAAGGCTGCTCACTAGGACAAATAGACGGTCTCACATCACCCCTATATTGAGATCTACATGTTGCGTATTGGGTCCAGTTTGCATTTCTCAATATTACTTACAGAGCTTGAGTGTATTTTATCACGTAGGCCTACGGTGTAGCCTATGTTTGATGTATTTTTATCACATGCTGTGTATTTTAGTTCACTTCCCCTTGCCGTGGCTCGGGTGGTCATTTTATCTTCTGTGTTTTGGTTCTTGTATGTTAAGGTTTTTATAAAGCAATTTGTGACTCTCGTCTGTGAAGAGCGTTACAAGTCAACAAGGTCACTTGTTGACTTGGTGTGTGGGTCCTTGATGGTCTGGGCCCCAGGGGCATCTAGCAATCTTCCCATTGGGCTTGTGTGGAAAACATGAATCAAATTTACCTAACTTGAGAAATGGTCCCTGTAATAGCCATGACTGACCCCTTTTTAGGAAGTGCATGTGTCAGAGCTTTGCTATACAAAATAACGGCTGTGTAAATACTGTCTTTAATAATGTTTTAATTTATTAGTTATTATTTGGTAATTTAATATACCAACTACACAAATTCTGTCGACAGTTTCTATATACTCCGCCCCCTACTGCTCAACTTTGTTATGTGGTTAATTTTCGCGCACTTTGGTGTTTCTACATTTCCAACAGTCCTTGAATGCAGCTTATCTCTTGACTGGGTATCAGCATGGAAAGAAAAGGTAACGTTGTAATTAGTCCTAAATGCCTTTTACACCGAGTACTTGAAATAGAGACGCTTTGCCACATGCGTTTCGCTGACAAATTCATTGTCTTATCTATTTTATCAAGTGTAACAAGCCACATAGCAGTTGGTGAAAAGTAAAAGTGGACCATGCGCTCTGCTGCGTGTGTACGTTATGTGTGTGTTAACAGTATGCTAGCTCTAGCCAGCAGACCAACGTTAGCATCTGATTGTGGATAAGTATGCGGAAAAACTTGTATCCAGGTTACAGGAAAGAAGAAGCAACAGTGTCCCCCAAAACTATAAACCAGTTTAGCGGGTCTCGGCATGATAATGGTCCAGCGTGTGATATTCGCAGTGAAAAGCACGACGTTACTGTTAGCAGCTAACGTTAGTTAACATTAAACTACCTCTGACACGGTGCAACACGCCGCCAAGGCCGGTTTAACGTTACTTAGCCTTTTCAGAGACTTAACTCCAGCCAAGTAACCTGCTACCCGCTCAGAGCTGGTATTGTTACCCGAATTGTTGTTTTTGCTTTACACCTGCAGCCCGATGCATGGACCCAAACAGCTTTGAGCAACAACAAGACAATGTCATGTGTGGTGTAAAAAAACAACTGCGAGGTTTTGAGGTTGGTGTTAATTACACCTAAGTTAACAATTGTATTTCTGCTTTCTAGTACTCGCATTGCAAGCAAGGAAGAAGAGGACAAAGCCCAGGAAACCTGGAAAGAAGTAAGCTGAAAAACACTCCCTGCTTGTTTTCATAGCACAGTTTGCTCTTTCTCTCTGGTCCGGAAACATGAAGCAGGAGGTTTCACTCATGACAACTGTTCAGCTGCATTTTTCACTTGTCTGTAAAGTCTGCAACTCTTAATAGTTTGCCAAAATAAATAATATAATATGGTGTTGTCCCACTTCACATCATGCATCTGTTTGTGTGTGTTGGTATAAGAGAGAGCCTTTGGTGGATGCAGCATCACAGTGTACCTGCAATGTTGTGACTTGGAACCCTGTTAGATTATAATGGAAGACATGATAGAAAATAACCACAAAAGACATTTAAATGCTGTAGTAGTTTATTATAGATGGCAAGGAAGTCATTTAATCCTACTTCACAGCATGTTATTGCTGTCAAGTAGTTTGAGTGCTTGTAAATGGCACAGACGGGGCAATATTTCACTCAGGGTGCGTAAGTGAGGCAGTGTTAATTCAGCGATGTCTGAAAGATGCTAGATGTTCTACATCTGCCAAAACGCTACAGCTGTAACAGTAACACATGTGTAGTATATCTGCCAAATGCCTATTCATAATTAATTTGGAAGTTATCACCCCTTTGCTGATTCCTACAACCATGGCTGTGCTGCATTCAGGAACTGTAGGTGTCAAATATGGCCTTCCTCACTTGGAATTTTTGTGGTCAAACAGAAGTTTCTACTGTAACATTCGATGCATTGTTTAGGTCAGCAATTCACCTATCGTTCATCTCATATCTAAATGGCTAATTAGAATAATCGTCCATTGGTTACACATCAAATGCAATGCCCACGGGAGCGCGTTAAATGTCTGAGACGAAACAATTTGCTACTGTTCAAAACATTTTTGAACAAAGAAGTATGGTGGATTAGATGGAAGACGACATGGAAGGGTTCTAATGAACAATTATTGAAGTTATTTCTAGGAGCTGGTGGCAAGGGCACCCGTCGTCAACTCTCCTTCATTTCTTACTAGGGCTGGGTATCGTTCAAAGATTTTCAATATTGATACCTCGACTTCGATACCGGTTCCTGAACGATACCAATTTTATTCTCAACAAACTGAGAACCATTGTTGTTTGTATAAAGTAACTTAATTATCACATTATTATCATTAATATTGTTTATTTTAATAATTGTTCCTTGGAAAATTCTACTGCTTGTCAAAAATCAAGACATATTTTCAATGTAACATAGGCCTATATTGTGTTTTTGTTGTTGTTATTCCTTCTTCTTTAGTTTTTATAATGTAATTTCATTGTTTATTAATTATATATTTTTTTATTGTTTATATGTGAATTTGTGCTCTGGCAACATTGCAACCTAAACATTCATGGCAATAGGCCCAAGAGAAAGAGAGAGAGAGAAATCACTCTTCTCATGGAAACAAGTTTCTGCCGCTACATATGAAAGTTTCCTCCTGACTAGAGGAAGAGGTGGCCAGGCAACAACTATCACAATAGACAGACATCAGCCCAAGGATCGCTACATCAGCATCACACGGAAGTGCTTCCGCTGGCTGCACATACAGGTCTGCGTGTGGCGTCACTTGCTGATCCTTCAGAAATGCTTGAGAAAAATGTAGCGTGTGTGGCCGTTACTCGGTCAATAAAAGAGCTTTGATTTGATTCAAAATGGCGACGCTACCACCAAGCTACTGAGAAATTTAGTTAAACTAGTAACGGCGCTACTTGTAGCGACGCTACCGCCCAACACTACTCATATGGTGGGCATGTTGAAGCAAGCTTCCCACTTCTCTCTATTTCTCATCAGACTGGTAGACTCTTCACCTGTTTGTGCTTCACTTAATATTGCGTTTCCCTCCACATGAGCAAGCTACAAAAATATAGACTGACCACTGTGACATTGTGCTTACAACAACAGTCACTTCCGGGTAGACAACTGGCAGTTGAATCGAATATGATATGTAAAATCTGGAAATTAGTTTATTTCTGTTGTTATTTTCAGCCGTAATTGTAACATTTAAGGTTATGTAGTTAAATACGGTGGTCCAACTGACCTGAAATTTCTACTGTATTTATTTTAAGAAGCCTACTGTGTTGCTTTGCGTCTTTGATAAATCAGATTTACCCAACAGCAACATCTCACCGCCAATGGGATTAGTTTTGGCTAAATTCAAGCTTTCATTTTCTGTGGCCCAAGAGGTGAATTATATGCATTTTAGATAAATAAGATAAGATCAGGAGAAAAAACAAAAAAACATCTTGCTACCATTTACAGTTGTATTTACCCAATGCAAGGATTCTCTACTTGGACGTTATTTTAAACACCTGTACCTCCATACTTTTATCCCCCTCTGTTTTGCCTGTCTGCCTCTTCTCTACCAGTCCCAACCCGATACCAGTCTACCTGCCTCTTTTTTTGCTTAGTAGTTGCTCAGCAATCTTGACAAACGAAGTGATCACATTACATTTACATTACATTTATTCATTTAGCTGACGCTTTTATCCAAAGCGACTTACAATTGCTATATATCAGACGCCTCTAGAGCAACTAGGGGTTAAGTGCGCTTGCTCAAGGACACATTGGGGGATGTTGGGAAATGAACCTGGGTCTCTCACACCAAAGGCATGTGTCTTATCCATCGCCACCCTGGCAATTCACATAATGAATCTCAATATCCTGGTTCCCACGCTGTCATCCACTTATGGTGGAAGAGAGTACAAAGGATTATTAAAGTGATATTTATATTCATGAGTCATACAAGGGAATGGATGTTCTCTTATTTCTTCCACCAGTGTTGACTATTACCACATTATACCTGCTCAGACACATCAGATCTCCATGATCGAAATAGTTCAAAGTTCAAAATCTTTACTGTACATTGTATAATTTGTAAAGAACAAAATGACTTAACAACAGTCAGTGGAAACCAAAATCACCAACTGATTGAGCGGCTGGATTCAAATCACAAATTAAAAGTAAAGAAATTTAAATCACAGACTGATCCATCTTGCGTTACTTTCATCACGGCAACTGATAATGTGCCTCAGTAGTGTATTAGGCTCCCAAGTGCCTGTATGAACTCCTGATAATGTCCGGGCATGCTCCTGAAGAGTCTGCAAGAAGTGTCTCCTCCCAAGCCTGGATCAGGGCATCAGTAAGCTCCTGGACAGCTCTTGACGCTACTTGGTGGCGTCAGATGCACAATATATAGGCCTAATGTCCCACAGGTTCTCAGTTGGATTAAGGTCTGGGGAACGTGAGGGCCAGTCAATGGCATCAATGCCATCGTCATCCAGGAACTGCACTCATACTCTGACCACATGAGACCGGGTATTGTCCTGCACCTGGAGGAACCCAGGGCCCACTGCAGCAGTTAAGATCTGACAATGGCTCTGAGGATTTCATCCAAGTACCTATCAACACTCAGGGTACCGTTGGCTAGCACGTAGAGGTCTGTGCAACATGCCTCCCCAGACCATCAATGACCCACGCCAAAGAGGTAATGCCGGATGATGTCGGTGGCAGCATATAACGTGCTCAGTGTGAACCTGCACTCAACTGTGAAGAGAACTGGGTGCCAATGGTGGACCTGCCAATTCTGGTGTTCTCTGGTGAATGCCAGCGGAGCTGCACGGTGCTGGGCTGTGAGCACAGATCCCACTAGAGGACGTTGGGCCCTCTTGTCGCCCTCGTTGAGTCGGTTTCTGACAGTTTGGTCATTTTGTGGCAGTGTTCCTCCTCGCACAAAGGAGCAGAGACCAGTCCATCTGCTGAGTTGATGCCCTTCTACAGCCCTAAGGATGTTATTATTTTCAAAGTGTAAGTCACCCTGATTATCATTATTATTTTTAACATTTATTTAGACCGGTCATCTCTTTAAGACACCGGGTCTCATTCTTAAGAGACTGGACAAGACAGCAAATTTTGCCTGTGTGTTCAGATTTGACTCCGCAAAGCTGTGTGATTTTTGACTCTCTTGAATGTCGAGTCCTGACAAGACAATTTAACCCAAAATACTTATTAACAACAATTTTTATATAACAATATGACCCCTCTTGGATTGTCCTCCTATTCAAGAAACACTGCACTGTGCGACTGTCATTGACATTTACTGCAATACTACAGAATTTTACACTTGACAGTGGTGCTGTGCAACAGTTTATTATTGAAATGCATAATTTCTGTCAATAACCATCAAGTAAGTGGCGAGCATCCAAGCATAAATTCTCTCGCTCGCTCTCTCTCTCTCGCTCGCTCGCCCTTGCACCCATCATGCTCCTACCCCTCCCACACTCTCGTGTCAGTTGCTGTTGTGGCTGCTGCGCTGAGAGGACACAACAGCCACTCGTCAGTCAAAGACCTGGTCCCAGGTCACTGCAGTCACACTGCACTTGCCTTCTCCAGGTTCAGTTCAGTATAGACTGGCATAACATAGCTTTAGCTTAGTGTCCTCTGGGTCATGTGGCTCCTGGACTGGATCTTCTCCATCAACACAGCTGTGGTGAAGCTAGCCAGCGGCCTCACATGCAAGTGAGTAGTGCACTAAGTCTCATGTTTGTATTAGTGTATGTTTAGAGAGAGGAAGCAAGAGTGAAGGACGGAGATGTGAAAGTCCCACTTTGCTCACGTCTGTGCTGCTTGTTGTATCTGTGATGATGGGAGTATTTCAGCGTACTAGTGTTTTGGTACGTGTGTGTTGGCGCCAGATGCCCGTGTACACAGAGTTGTGCTGACTTATTGAGGGGCTGATCCATTTTTCATTAAGGAGCAGATGCTGACTGTTGCTCTACGAGGTACCTCACTACCTGCTTATGTGTTTTGCATAGAATATATGCAAGCTAGCGAGAACTGATGATGTCCCTGGTGGATTTGTGCTGCCAGCTTTTGAAAGAGCTTATCGCCCACCCTGTTTTTTTTTTCACTGTATTTCTGCATTACAGTATCATATTTTTTTGCCATCACTCTAGACATCAAACCACTTGTTTCTCTAACTTTCGGTATGTCGGCTGTAAT